CCGCGGGCTTGGAGGATTCCCCCCCCGCCGCCGCCCCGGCTTCCACGGCCTGAAAGGGGCTGGCGGCCGGGCCGGGTGGGGGAGGCGGTCACTGCATAGGGATGAGCTGTCGTCCGGAGCGCCGGGGACAGAGCGCCATTGTCTGTTCCACCGCCGCCGTCTGATCGCCAGTGCAGTCTGCCAGCCCCGGGAGGAAGGCGCAGGGTGACCGGAACAGGACTTGAGGCTGGGAGAGGTGGTCACCCGGCCCCTGTGTACCTCCCCACCTCCCCGTAGAGCCTTGACTTTGGGGTGGGCCGCGTGGCCGCGTCTTGGCTCCCCTGCTCACTAGCTCAGTGGCCTGCTCCCTTGCTCTTAGCCTCTGTCTCTTGGGGTTTAAACCTAGCCAACAGGTGGACCTCTTCCCATCCTACCTAAACCTTCACCACCACCACCACCACATACACACACACACACACATACGCACGCACACCTCCATCTGTTTTTGGTTTTTTGGAGAGGTTTTTGCTATAGGGCCCGTGCGCTGGCCAGAAAAACAGAGCACCAGAGAGAGACAGAAAGCGAGAAATCACTCCCCAAGGGGGATGCCCACCTGCAGTCTCTTTTCTCCTCTTGGGGTCTTGGGCAAGCACGCACATGTGCCCGGCGTGAGTTTAAGCCACCGGGTTGGGGACTCCAACCGTGACTGACTACATGGGAGTCCAGTGGCATAGCCATTATGCCAACTGCCGGTCCCTGTTTTCTCCCCACCCACCTTTTTTCACATCCTGTTGACCCAGTGGACTCTGACAGGTGTCTCCAGAGCTGAATCTTACCCAGAGCCTCCGAGCCTCAGGGGAAACACTCATAGTGGCCCTAAAACAAAGCAAGTTACTGGGCAGAGAACCCCCCAGGGTTCTTTCTGACCTGCAAACCCCAGACCCAGCCAGGCCTTCCTGCCCGCCTCCCTCCATCATCCACCACCAATCAAGGACCTCTACCTTGGGACCAGCAGTTAGCATAATGGCTATGTCGCTGAACTCCCATGTAGTCGACCAAGGTTCACGTCCCGGACCCAGTGGCTTAAACTCACACTGGGCACGTGTGTGTGTGTGCCCAAGATCCTGAGAGGAGAGTGGAGGATAAGGGATTGTGGCGTGGCCATCCCCCTGGGGGGAGGGAGATCTCTCCCTTTCTATCTCTCTGTCTCTTTCTGTCTTTCTGGTGAGCACACATGCCCTATAGCAAAAACCTCTCAAAAAAAGGACCCCTACCTTTTCCTGGGAGAAAACCAGCCATGGCAGCGCTGAAAGACTGCGCCAATGACATGGAGGCGGGGTCGCCCCATAAAGCTCTCTCCTTGAAAGTGAAAGGGGTCTCTCTCTCCTGCAGCCCGGGAACCTGTGTCCATTAACAGAAGGCCCTAGTCAGACATCGGCTGGAGGGCTAGCCAGGTGGGCTGTGGTTAAGGCCCACAGGGCTGACTGCATGGATCGAGTCCCAACCCAGTGGCTTGAAAAACACACCAGGCATGTGTGTGTGAGTGCCCCAGATCCTGAGGAGACTGGAGGAAATGGGATTGCCGCATGGCCGTCCCCACGATGGGGTGATTTCCTACTTTCCCTCTCTCCTGCAAGCACACACACCCTATAGCAAACATGAAAAGAAAAAAAATCACAGGGGAAATACCTGGACAGCGGGCCAAGGAGCAGAGCCCGCTTTGGCTGGGCACTCGGCCCTCTGCGCTGTGCGCTTGCAGACTGAGCCCTGTAAATGGGCCGGAGTTGCAGGGCTTGAGCCCGCCTCCCCTAGTCTCCCACACCAGGGCTTGCCCTCAGGGGAGAAGCTACAGGCTGGTGCTTGGGCCCTTGACACAGGGAATGGTTTTGGGGGGAAGTCAAGGAGGGTGACACTTGAATGAGAATTATCGCAGGACGTTCAGGTCTTCAGTCACAGATGAATGGGGGGCGGGGGAGGCTGGGGATGAGGGGGAGGCAGAGGTAGGGAACTGGAGTCTTCCTGGAGGTGGGGGCCTCAGAACTGACCTCACAGGCCTGTTGCTTCGTGCTCGGGCCCAGCCTTTCACCTAAGATGGAGCGCTTCCCTTCAGTCCTCCTGGCCTCTGGGAAGGAGTATGAAGTGAGAGGCAAGCTGGCTGCAGGACCAGGGGCTGAGGAAGTTCACGGCCGACGAAGCAGCCCAAGTTCTGGCCCCGCACCCAGCCATGCTCATCCAGGTCTCTGGCCCAACCCAGAGCGTTCTCTGCTTTTAGAGATTTTTGGTATAGGGCACATGCATTTGGGAAGAGAGACAGAGACAGAGATGGTGGGAGGGAAAGTGAGAAATCGCCCTCTGGGGGGAGGGTGACGCTGCAATCCCCTCTCCATTCTCCTCCCGGGGTCTTGGGCACGCACACACACATGTCCTGTGTGAATTTTAAGCCACCAGGTCCAGGGGCTTGAACTGTAGCCAGCCATGTGGGAGTCCAGCGATGTAACCACGGCACCATCTTCCGCCCCACCCCCCAAAGCATTCTGACCTGGGGCTGCCTGGTCTCATGGAAAT